CCGCCTTCATTTAGGAAGTATCAGAATGGGACACTTCATTTAAGTGTTTGAGAGGTAACTTCTTTAAATAAAACAGCCAGATTTTGTCATCTATTTCCTTCAAGACTTGGGGCAACTAATAGAAAAAGCCAGTTACTTGATTGTGCTTAAGTACAATTACTTGATTAAGTCCACTGAATTCCCTTCACAGTGGAAAGCTATGACCTGGTTTTGTTTTGTCCCTTGTCCTTCAATTTATACTTTACATAATTGTATTCTCAGTACTTCCTGGACTTACAAGTTTCCCTTATTCCAAAGGAACAACTTAATACTAGTTTGAACCACACAAAAGTACTTTTTCAGGTCAAAACTTGTTTGAAGACTGGCTCAGATTATGTATAGGTCTGGATAGCCTAGATTCAAAGCCCATTTCGGCCACTTCCTAGGTCTAAAACCACAGGTGGTTATATATTTCTTCTAGATATCAGTTTCCTCATCTGTATAATGGGTACTATAATATTATCAGTCTCAGTTGTGAAGATTAAATGAAATAGTGCACAAAAATACTTAGCACAGTACCTGACACATGGCAATTTTTAAAATTTTATTTATTTTTTATAAACATATAATGTATTATTAGCCCCAGGGGTACAGGTCTGTGAATTGCCAGGTTTACACACTTCACAGCACTCACCTAGCACATACCTTTCCCAAAGTCTATAACCCCACTCATGGCAATTTCTTAGTACATGCTGACTTCCAACAACAGAAAGGAGTTAAGTTTGATCTTTCCACTTGTATTCCCAGTCCTTAGCACAGTGCCTGGTTTGTTGTATATTGCCAGTGAAGTTTATACTAGATTGACTGGTTTTGGTCTTCCATGTTATCAGAATGGTTTATTATGTGTCCATAATCCTGTGTGAATATTTGCATATTGGTTTCTGAGCCTAATGTTCCTATTAGTTCCATCTATTTTCTCAGTAAAATGAGGAGTGTATGGGAACCATCTGGAGCATTCCAACATTCAGAGGAAAAGCAGCAGGGAGGAGTGGTAGGTGGTATGGAGAAAAATATGGGGATGTCAGGTCCTATAAGGCAAATGAATAGGGTATTTCAGGAAAGAGGGAGTGAGAAGTCTTGCCATACACTCCTGAGAGGTCTAGTAAGCTGAAAGTTTAGGACCAACCATTGGATCTGGCGATGACAAAGTCATTATTGACCTTGACAAAAAGAACTGCAATGGGATGCTGGGGACAAAGGCCTAAATGGATTGATTAAAGATAGAATAAGACCCTCCCATCACCACCACCTCCAGGGTCCAGGTGCACTTGGGGACTCTGCACTCCAGGGCTGTTTACTCTAAGGCTGCTGTCTCCAAGCCAATGTGGACACAAGGCTGGGGCCCACACACTCATTCCTGTCTCTCTCTCAAGGCTCAGGGCAAAAGCATGGAGCTAGTAAGCAGCCCACTAACCATGCGCATGCTGGACACTGTCTCAGGGCTCCCAGCTCAGGCCTCCACCTCTACCTATCCAGGTTCGTGGACCATGGGCAGTAGTCGACAGAGCTGAGGAAAATCTAGTCCAACTTGGGTGGTCACTGCCCAAGTCCCCTGGCACCAGGCCTAATGAAGGCAGGCATCTACAAGCTGTCCTTTGACACCAAGGGCTACTGGAAGAAGAGGGGGTAGGAGAGCTTCCATTCATATGTGGAAGTCACTTTCACCATCATCAATGAGACCCATAGTTTTCATGTACCCCTGCTGCTGGGCCTGTGATCCTATAACACACATTGAGGGAGCTAGTAGCTGAGCGATTGTCTCTGGCCAACTGCTGGTCATATAAGCGTCAATCCCATCCCCAAGACTCACTGAGGCAGTCCTACAGAGAGCACCAGGTTACACACCCTGTGGGAGGTTCTGGTCCCTCAATTTCCAGTAGCACCTGAGTCTCAGGCATCAGTCAAGTTGGTCCTAGCAAAAAGAAGAAGAAGGGGGAAAAAAATGAGGCGTAAGGATGTAAAACATTGAAAACAGACAATATTTTTAATGGCTTTTGCTATAGTGTAGAGCATAGATTTGGTGGTTCACTCAGTAAGACATTTAGGGTCAAGGAGGAGTTTTTAAAAATGGGATTATAGGGGCGCCTGGGTGGCTCAGTGGATTAATCCTCTGCCTTCAGCTCAGGTCATGATCCCAGGGTCCTGGGATCGAGCCCCGCATCGGGCTCTCTGCTCAGCGGGAAGCCTGCTTCCTCCTCTCTCTCTGCCTGCCTCTCTGCCTACTTGTGATCTCTCTGTCAAATAAATAAATAAAATCTTTTAAAAAAATGGGATTATATACTTATAAGAACAATCTAGTAAAAAGGGAAATTGATCAGCAGGAAGAGAAGGGATAACTGCAGGACCACAGTCCTCATGTAGACCAGAGGTGATACAATCAGTGCACAGGTAGTAACCTTGGCCTTAAACCTAACAAGGACTGTCCCTCTGGATAAGAAATGGAAAGGCAGGGGCGCCTGGGTGGCTCAGTGGGTTAAGCCTCTGCCTTCAGCTCAGGTCATGATTTCAGGGTCTTGGGATCAAGCCCCGCATCGGGCTCTCTACTCCGCAGGCAAGGAGCCTGCTTCTCCATCTCTCTCTGCCTGCCTCTCTGCCTACTGACTCTCTCTATCAAATAAATAAATAAAATCTTTAAAAAAAAAAAAGAAGAAGAGGAAAGGCAGAGTGTGGGGTGTAAATGCAGGCACTTTCCTGAACTTGCTAATGAAAGACAGGTAGTTCCCTTCTGATTATTTCTGTATTCTTAGTGAAACAGTAGTCAAAGTAAGCAGCTAAGAATGAGCAATTATGAGAAGAGAAAATATGATTGGCTCTGTTGGGACTGAAAGAGCCAATGTACTAGGAAAATGTAGTTGGATTGTCAGGCTACACTGGGAGTCCATTTGAAATGTGTGGTAATAAATTGAAAACTAACAAGTCAGTACAGTACTGTGTTTTTCTTCAGTCATGCTTAGCTGTTCAGATATAGGCACAGAGTAGACCAAGAGTGGCTTTCACCAAAGTCAATGGCTTGCTTGGCCAGTCTGACAGAGAGAGTACATGGCAAGGTGTGTGTAAGAGACTATGACAATGCACTATGGGTAATCTGCGCTGCATAAAGAGAGAAAAGAGGTCATTTAGAGGTATGATAAATGGCAAAAAAGTAGAGAAGCCAATGGTGGTCCCAGTGGGAGAAAAAGGTGGGGTTCTTTTAAGTGAGTAGGAAAGAAATAGGTTATTAGAAATTTAACTGTATGAAATTAAAATTTAGAAGGTGGTATAGACACTGTACTGATAAGGTCAAGAGTATGGGTTTAGAGTGGGAGCCTAAAGTCATGTGGAGGACAAGATTGTGGAAGTGGGAACTTAAGTGAAAGGCTAGAGTAGATGAATTATCTATATGGAGATTAACATTTTCACAAATGTTGAGAGAATTGATGTGGAGAGGAAGGCAGTGATTCACGTGCTGCAGTCCTCATGAACAAGGGGAGTAGAGCAAGACTGTCAGTTGACCTCAAGAATGAAGGACATTGTATGGCTCAGAGTGATGGCAAGGCCTTGAAGAGAGTTGGGCTTTTGAGAGAAGGAAAAGGAAAAATTCTCTAGCAGTGTCAATGTCTTATGTGCCTTATGCTGAGTTCTTATGTCTTATCTTATGTCTTATGTCCAGGGGGTAGATTTTGTGGGGCAGGCAAAGAGCCCAACCACAATTTGAAAGCTGTAGGTTGAGACAGAGCAAGAAACAAATGTCATTTTCAGAAAAGGAATTGGAAATAAAGAACTTAAAAATGATGACAGAACTTTGCAAAAGGCTCAGTGGTAGAGCATGGGTGGCAGAGAGAGCTGGGAGGTTGGGTTAGAGCAGTAATGCACCAAGGTGTATGGAGACAAGAACCTAAACACATTAGAAGACCCAGGAGACTTGGACTTCTGGGGGAACCTAGAAGGTCTCTGTATGCAGGAAAATGAAGTCACCTCTGATTCCGCTAAAGCAAGAATCACTCTGGTTCTTCTCCATGCCTTCCAAAGAGTCACATTAGACAGGGAGTTTCACTGAGTGAACCAATGAGTAAGTGCATGGCCCTCATAAAAGACAGAGGAAGACTAGTACTGTGAGAGACGGGTGGAGGGAGCAATTCACTAGCAGATCAGATGGCAGGAAACTTTTCACAAAGAAGTAGAAGAGCAGAGTGGAAAGACCAGAATCTGGAGTCAAAAGACAGTCCCTTAGGTCTTTGGGAAAGTCATGTCTTCTGACTACATATCACTGGCCTCATCTGTAAAGTGGACCTTTCCTCCTCAGGAGAGCCCTGGTTACCCCTTTGCGACTCCTGTACAGCTCACTAGGAGGTTGTGTACAGCTATACATGTGTAAGAGTGGCAATAAATATGAGAGGAGAGGTACAGTGTGTGCCACATCCCTCTACCCGTGTGCCTTTGCCTGTGTGTCAATATCTACTCCTAACTACATAAAAGACTGCTATTAAAAGATTCATCCTTTCAGTTTTGAAAGATGTTCCATAGTATGTATAATGTGTTAAAATAACAACAGGCAACCCCACAGAGAGCATTCTGGAACAGCAAGCAAGAGTAACCCCGATGAGGAGCTAGGGTCCAAGACAGGCCAAATGGGGTTACCCCAGGATGTGTGACAACAAGGAACATCATAGCCATCCAAGCTGGTTGGCCGTAGGAAAAGCTACCACAAGAGCCTGAGAAAGGAGGAATCAGAGCCATCCATTCCCTCACATGCCCAGGATCAGGGCAGCTGTGTACAAGTTGGAGGGATGATATTTTCCTTCCACTTGCCCATATTCTGAGTGAGAACTTTAGCCCAGTTTTAGAAGTCATATGAGTCTTGATAAGCAGGGGCGGGGCTTCCAGAAGCAGGAGTCTCAGAGCTCTATAAAGCCCAATGGGGCCCAGCTGGGCCACTCTCCCAAGGGCTGTGAACTGTTGGCTTTGTGCTTGTTCCTTTGGAAATGCAACGGCTGTTGACTTCAGTAAAGCGGGTCTTGCAAGTGAAGACAGCAATGCAGGAAGTCTTCATCTCACCTGCTAGCCATCTTCCCACAGCCCACCAAAGGTGAGTCATGTTCGAAGGGACTGTGCAGGCCACGCTTTGAGAAGTGTCATAGAACCAGTAAAAGATAGGTAGGTAGAAATCCTGCCATAAGAAAAAGCTCACTAGAATCCCAGTGAAAAGTTGGTGAGGCTTGTACACAGCCTTAGATGAGCAAGTTAACCTGTTAGGGTCTGAGTTACCTCCTCTCTAAGCAGATGGTAGGTCCCTCTCAGCTAGAATTGCAGGATCCCAAATCTCTGATACCTGCTGTTCATAGATGGTGACATCTTTCACTGCCCCAGTGGCATGAAACAGTGGAAATATCGGTTCCAGGGCCCCCGGCATTCTTCTTTCCACCACCGTTCCCCCTTTACCTCCAGCTCCTGCCAAGACCCATAGCACTCTGCGCCAATGGCAGTGTTAGTCAAACCAGCTGCTTCAAATCATTGCAGCAAGATTCCAAATGGACTGGGGATCAGAAGCTTGTTTCTCTGCACTCTGATTTTGTGAAAGGGGGAATGGGATGTTAAGATAAGAGTGTATGTCTGTGTGCAATGTGTTGTGCACAGAAGCACACATGTATGCCTTGTATTTGTTTTGTTTGTTTGTTTTGTTTTTTTCATGCCTTGTATTTGTAAGCACTCCCCAGCTTGGCCTATGTGCTTGGAGCCTCCCAACACCGATGGTAATAGCTACAGCTAGGGCCTTTAATCTCCAAACCATGCGCTGTACCCTGAGACTAGCCATTTCTCCCACTTCCACACTACACTCTATGACAGTTTAGAAAAATGACTTTGACTCAGTGTATTCCCTTGCCTGGGGTCCAGACCTGGATGTGTGGAGTAGGGGATGTGTGGAGTAGGGGATGATGCTCCTTAGCCTTCTTATTTTCTTCCTCACTCTCTGCCATTTTCATACCCTCCTTCACCCTCTTTAGACAGGCCAAATGTCCCAGCTCAGCATTTGACCTGTTCTTGCATCTGAGAGGAAGGGATTGACATGGATTTGCTTGTTTCAGTAAGTAACAGCGGGCTGCCCAGCAAGAGACAAACCTCAGAACTCGTCCAACCTGCCCCTCCTTCAGGCATCCTTGGTTCACACATTTCCCTTTTCCAGTGCACCCACAGCTCATCCTGTTTTCTGTGGTCTGAAAGAGTATTAAGGATCTTTCCTATGAGTCTCTCTTTCTCTGTATATCGGTCTTCTCTTCTGCAACCTGCCTCGGCTCTCAATCCAACCCAAGAACTGCTCCCGTCGCATGGTTAACAATGCTTCCCTGCAGGTTAACAAAGAGTGGTGCCCTCCGCTTGGTGGTCCCCACCTGCTTTTCTCATGTGGCTATGTCCCTAATCCTTCACTCTCCACTCTACCAAGTGCCCTTACTTGCTCAGTCATCCCCCACTGTGACCACTACCTCCTCCACACCCCCTCCAGGTCTTTATCAGCAGAAGTTCCGCTCACCCATCAAAGTCAGTCTCAAATGTAGCCTCGTCCATGAAGATTTTTCTTCATGGAAGAAAATCTCTGCTTCCACAGGAAATCTCTGCTTCCTCCAAACTCCGGTGTGATTTTGCCTATATCCCTCTTGAGGTCCTTATCACATTCTGACTCCCAGCTGGGGTATGCATATGTGCCCGTTTATTACTCCCACTGGTCAAGGAAGTCCTCAGACCGTTGACCTCCTCTTTTCTTTGTCAACTTTCTCCACCTCAGCAGCCTCTCACTAGCACGGTGCCTGGCATGTAATGGTGAATTTTGAAATAGAAGGAGGAGAATTGGAATAAAGAAAGAAAAGCTTAATGCATATTCTTAAACCAAGCAACCTCAGAACAATACCGATTTTAGATTAAATAAAGTTTCCTAGAGAAAATATACAGATAAGAAGAGCACTCTTAACTCCAGTGGTCTGATCTTTCTGGAAGCCTCTACATGCTAACTCTTCTTCAAGGCTCTGGAATCCTTTTCCAGAAATAGCCCCCTATTAAGACAGTTTCAAAAGTTAACATGTGGCTGATTCTTGGAACCTCTCCTTGAAAGCTTAGAATTCTAACTGGAGAGAGAGGAAGGGAGAGAGAATAAGAATGCAGAATGAGAATGAGAAGACAAATTGATAATGAGGCTGAGGGGAAAGCCAGCCAAGTGCAGGACCTCTGCTGGCTAACCATTAGCTCCGACATACTGGGTAAGATTCTCCACAAATATTTGAAAGTACAAACTCCAATTATTTGGGGAACACCAAATAAATAGGGCAGATAACTAAATTCCAAACCTCTCTTATCAGATATGGGTGAACATTTATACTTTGCCTCACTGTCTTATGATCTTGGGATACACTTTGCCTCAGTGACCTTTCTGATGGGAGAACTGGGATTTACCAGAAGTCCAGAATCCTCAGGGTGATTGACAGACACGCTCAATCTGAGCTACAGTTCCTGTGGCATAGAGCTAAATGCGTAAGCCTGTGGAGCCATCCTGTCACTTACAATGGTCAGGAATTCTACAGCTAGGTATGAGTCAAAGGACTCTGGTGGCACTCACGAGTGCTTTGGTGGCACCCAAGGTGGTGAAAGGACAAGATATTTCTAACACATGAGTAACCATGAAGGTACTCTGAGCACAACACTTCACCAATGCTTGCCTTGATTTTTTTCACCATCTGCAAAATGAAGAGTATCAGTAAAGTAACTAGATTTCAGGTATTTTCATGTAGGAACAGTTGGAGGTGGACCTGGTGATTTCTGTACTTATAGCTAGATGGAGAAACTCCAGAATTTCACCAGGGGTATTAGGAGTCAGGTATTAGAAGAGAGATGGGTAGGTCCAGGAAAGAAACGGATTATCTTTTTCCTCTTCCACTGACCCCTTCCCCATTTTCTCTCTGCTCCCATGTAGAATTGTTCTCTCTGTCCTCTGTATTCTCACAGCCTTTGCTTGTTATACTATGTATTTAGCTGTTGAATATCTGCCTGTTCCATTAGACTATGCTCTCTTGGTGACCACAAAGGATACCTTCTTCTCTACTGTGCATCTGGAACCCAGTACTGTGTTGGATGTGCTCCATAAATATTCGGAGGCCCAATCAGAAAAGGCAGAGAGGATAGAATCAAGCAGGAAGCTTCCTTAAAAAGTAGAAAAACAATAGGTATGTTCTTGTGTAGTAAGAAGAAACAAAGAGAAAAGGGGTGATGAGAGGGGCATTTTTTTTTTTGAAAGGAGCACTTTAAAACTGAATGAGATTTTTCAAGTTATGTCCTATGAGGTTTATAACATGTGTAGAAATAAACCACATAACAATAATAGCTCAAAGGGATGGAAAGGATAAAGGGAATTAAAGTATGGTTTTTCACTGTTCAGAAAACAGAAGTATTTATGTAGAAGTATTAATGTAAGTTAGATTTCAATAAACCAAGCATGCATATTGTAAGCTCCGAGATCATTCCTAAAAGAAAAAGAGGAGATAAAATGGAGTAATAAATACTTGTTTAATCCAAAAGAATGCAGGAAAGAAGAAATAAACAAAGGACATGTGAGACAAATGGAAATAAAGAGTGAGACAGTAGATTTAATCCCATCTATATTAGTCATTACAATAAATATAATTGGACCAGTTACTCCAATTAAAGCACCAATACTGTAAGGCTTGTTAAAAAAACAAACAAAAAAAGACTCCAACTATGTGCTGTTTAGAAGAGATGTGTGTTGGGGCGCCTGGGTGGCTCAGTGGGTTAAAGCCTCTGCCTTTGGCTCAGGTCATGATCCCAGGGTCCTGGGATCGAGCCCCACATCAAGCCCCGCATCGGGCTCTCTCCTCGGCGGGGAGCCGGCTTCCCCCTCTCTCTGCCTGCCTCTCTGCCTACTTGTAATCTCTGTCTGTCAAATAAATAAATAAAATCTTTAAAAAAAAAAAAAGAAGAGATGTGTGTTAAATATAAAGACCCTGAGAGATTAGAAGTATAAAAGGACAACAAAAGATACACCATGCCAACAGTAATAATAATAATAATAACTAAGGCAGCTTGCTTAATATCAGGAAAAGTAGATTTTGTGACAGGAATATCACAAAGATGAATTAAAAAGGGACATTTAATAAGGTTAAAAGTACTAATTTAACAGAAAGATAACCACCTCACATTTGCATTCATCTGATAATATAGCTTCAAAATATACAAAAAATGAATGAGATGATTGCTGTATTGTATTTTGAGGAGACTGGCTGGAGACCATGAATAGGATTTTGATTGTTATCTCCATTACAGGTTTTCAACCATCCCTGCTGTCCCCTTGGCCAAAACAGATACTTGGCCAAAGGATGTGGGCATCCTTGCTCTGGAGGTCTATTTCCCAGCCCAGTATGTGGACCAAACAGACCTGGAGAAGTTTAACAATGTGGAAGCAGGGAGGTACACGGTGGGCTTGGGCCAAACCCATATGGGCTTCTGCTCAGTCCAGGAGGACATCAACTCCCTGTGCCTGACGGTGGTGCAGCGGCTGATGGAGCGCACACAGCTCCCATGGGACTCTGTGGGACGGCTGGAAGTGGGCACTGAGACCATCATTGACAAGTCCAAAGCTGTCAAAACAGTGCTCATGGAGCTCTTCCAGGACTCCGGAAACACTGACATTGAGGGCATAGATACCACCAATGCCTGCTATGGTGGCACTGCCTCCCTCTTCAATGCTGCCAACTGGATGGAGTCCAGCTCCTGGGATGGTAGGTGGTTCCCGAGACCTTATGTAAGAAAGGAACTGGGTTAGAGGCTGAATCCTCGGTTTTGTTTCTCCATTTCCCCAGTGGTTTCATCAGGGAGGGAAGGACAACTTACTCACACAGCTGTTCTTGTCATCAACAACCACAATGATGATTACCACTTAGACTTGTGTAACTGTATACTGTTAACTAGGTAGCATGGGCACATAGTTCATTTAGTCCTTCCAACAGCCTAGGAAGTGGGTGTTATGCCTGATTTACACATGAGAAAATGGGGGATCTGATATCTTACACAGTGTTTGGCAGGGGTGAGACGCCAAACCAAATCCAATATATTCCTATTTCTCATAAGGTTCTCCTAAGCCTCTGAGAGAGAGTTAAACAAGTTTAGGTATTAAGGGGAAAACATGCTGGTAGGAGGAGACCCAAAGAATCACAGAATAAAAAAACAAAACAAAACAAAAAAGAATCACAGGATAAACTATTACACAGAGTATATATTCTCATACTCCCTCGCCTACTTGCTAGGAAATTGCTTTTTGCTTAACATATTTATAAAAAGATTTTACTTATTTATTTATTTATTTAATTTTAAGGGCAGAGGAGTAGAGGAGTAGAGGAGTAGATAAGCAGACTCTGTGCTGAGCATGTAGCCTGATGCTGGGCTCGATCCCACGATTCTGAGATCATGACCTGAGCTGAAATCAAGAGTCAGACACTTAACCCACTGAGCCACCCGGGCACCCCGTTTTTTGCTTAACATATTAACATTATCTTGTTTCTTACTTACATCTTCTCTGGATGTTATACTGGAGGAAGAACCCCCTGTTGTGATAGCAAGAAAAGATCCAAGGGAAACAGTACAAGTTGAGAGTTCAAAATCTAGCTCTGTTGATAACTGCTAGCAAGTCCCTTAACCACTTCAAGCCTCATAGTTCTTATTAGGCAACCTCCCTTGCGGGGCTGGTAAAAGGACTGTACAAGAGATCCACAGAGATTATCTGGGCAGTCAAGGCACTTAGTATGCTAAGTGGAAACTGGAATTTAAAACTGTAGAAGCCATAATTAACATTAATTATAAAATCTTCATGTTGGCAGGAACCTTGGAGATTATCTAATTCAATATACTTTTTTTTATTATTTTTTTTTTATTTTTTTATTTTTTTAATTTTATTTTTTATAAACATATATTTTTTTCCCCAGGGGTACAGGTCTGTGAATCGCCAGGTTTACACACTTCACAGCACTCACCATAGCACATACCCTCCCCAATATCCATAATAACCCCACCCTCCCCAATCCCCCTCCCCCCAGCAACCCTCAGTTTGTTTTGTGAGATTAAGAGTCACTTATGGTTTATCTCCCTCCCAATCCCATCTTGCTTCATTTACTCTTCTCCTACCCCCTTAACCCCCATGTTGCATCTCCTCTCCCTCATATCAGGGAGATCATATGATAGTTGTCTTTCTCCGATTGACTGATTTCGCTAAGCATGATACCCTCTAGTTCCATCCACGTCATTGCAAATGACAAGATTTCTTTTGATGGCTGCATAGTATTCCATTGTGTATATATACCACCTCTTCTTTATCCATTCGTCTGTTGATGGACATCTAGGTTCTTTCCATAGTTTGGCTATTCTGGACATTGCTGCTATAAACATTCGGGAGCACGTGCCCCTTCGGATCACTACGCTTGTATCTTTAGGGTAAATACCCAGTAGTGCAATTGCTGGGTCATAGGGTAGTTCTATTTTCAACATTTTGAGGAACCTCCATGCTGTTTTCCAGAGTGGTTGCACCAGCTTGCATTCCCACCAACAGTGTAGGAGGGTTCCCCTTTCTCCGCATCCTCGCCAGCATCTGTCATTTCCTGACTTGTTAATTTTAGCCATTCTGACTGGTGTGAGGTGGTATCTCATTGTGGTTTTGATTCGTATTTCCCTGATGCCGAGTGATAATGGAGCACTTTTTCATGTGTCTGTTGGCCATCTGGATGTCTTCTTTGCAGAAATGTCTGTTCATGTCTTCTGCCCATTTCTTGATTGGATTCTTTGTTCTTTGGGTGTTGAGTGTGCTAAGTTCTTTATAGATTCTGGACACTAGCCCTCTATCTGATATGTCGTTTGCAAATATCTTCTCCCATTCTGTCAGTTGTCTTTTGGTTTTGTTAACTGTTTCCTTTGCTGTGCAAAAGCTTTTGATGTTGATAAAATCCCAATAGTTCATTTTTGCCCTTGCTTCCCTTGCCTTTGGCGATGTTCCTAGGAAGATGTTGCTGAGGCTGAGGTCGAAGAGGTTGCTGCCTGTGTTCTCCTCAAGGATTTTGATGGATTCCTTTCTCACATTGAGGTCCTTCATCCATTTTGAGTCTATTTTCGTGTGTGGTGTAAGGAAATGATCCAATTTCATTTTTCTGCATGTGGCTATCCAATTTTCCCAACACCACTTATTGAAGAGGCTGTCTTTTTTCCATTGGACATTCTTTCCTGCTTTGTCGAAGATTAGTTGACCATAGAGTTGAGGGTCTATTTCTGGGCTCTCTATTCTGTTCCATTGATCTATGTGTCTGTTTTTGTGCCAGTACCATGCTGTCTTGATGATGACAGCTTTGTAGTCGAGCTTGAAGTCCGGAATTGTGATGCCACCAACTTTGGCTTTCTTTTTCAATATTCCTTTGGCTATTCGCGGTCTTTTCTGGTTCCATATAAATTTTAGGATTATTTGTTCCATTTCTTTAAAAAAAATGGATGGTACTTTGATAGGAATTGCATTAAATGTGTAGATTGGTTTAGGTAGCATAGACATTTTCACAATATTTATTCTTCCAATCCAGGAGCATGGAACATTTTTCCATTTCTTTGTGTCTTCCTCAATTTCTTTCATGAGTACTTTATAGTTTTCTGTGTATAGATTCTTAGTCTCTTTGGTTAGGTTTATTCCTAGGTATCTTATAGTTTTGGGTGCAATTGTAAATGGGATGGACTCCTTAATTTCTCTTTCTTCTGTCTTGTTGTTGGTGTAGAGAAATGCAACTGATTTCTGTGCATTGATTTTATATCCTGACACTTTACTGAATTCCTGTACCAGTTCTAGCAGTTTTGGAGTGGAGTCTTTTGGGTTTTCCACATATAGTATCATATCATCTGCGAAGAGTGATAGTTTGACTTCTTCTTTGCCGATTTGGATGCCTTTAATTTCTTTTTGTTGTCTGATTGCTGAGGCTAGGACTTCTAGTACTATGTTGAATAGCAGTGGTGATAACGGACATCCCTGCCATGTTCCTGACCTTAGCGGAAAAGCTTTCAGTTTTTCTCCATTGAGAATGATATTTGCGATGGGTTTTTCATAGATGGCTTTGATAATATTGAGGTATGTGCCCTCTATCCCTACACTTTGAAGAGTTTTGATCAGGAAGGGATGCTGTACTTTGTCAAATGCTTTTTCAGCATCTATGGAGAGTATCATATAGTTCTTGTTCTTTCTTTTATTAATGTGTTGTATCACATTGATTGATTTGCGGATGTTGAACCAATCTTGCAGCCCTGGAATAAATCCCACTTGGTCGTGGTGAATAATCCTTTTAATGTACTGTGGAATCCTATTGGCTAGTATTTTGGTGAGAATTTTTGCATCTGTGTTCATCAAGGATATTGGTCTGTAGTTCTCTTTTTTGATGGGATCCTTGTCTGGTTTTGGGATCAAGGTGATGCTGGCCTCATAAAAGGAGTTTGGAAGTTTTCCTTCCATTTCTATTTTTTGGAACAGTTTCAGGAGAATAGGAATTAGTTCTTCCTTAAATGTTTGGTAGAATTCCCCCGGGAAGCCGTCTGGCCCTGGGCTTTTGTTTCTTTGGAGATTTTTGATGACTGTTTCAATCTCCTTACTGGTTATGGGTCTGTTCAGGCTTTCTATTTCTTCCTGGTTCAGTTGTGGTAGTTTATATGTCTCTAGGAATGCATCCATTTCTTCCAGATTGTCAAATTTGTTGGCAAAGAGTTGCTCATAATATGTTCTTATAATTGTCTGTATTTCTTTGGTGTTCGTTGTGATCTCTCCTCTTTCATTCATGATTTTATTTATTTGGGTCCTTTCTCTTCTTTTTGATAAGTCTGGCCAGGGGTTTATCAATCTTATTAATTCTTTCAAAGAACCAGCTCCTAGTTTCATTGATTTGTTCTATTGTTTTTTTGGTTTCTATTTCATTGATTTCTGCTCTGATCTTTATGATTTCTCTTCTCCTGCTGGGTTTAGGGTTTCTTTCTTGTTCTTTCTCCAGCTCCTTTAGGTGTAGGGTTAGGTTGTGTACCTGAGACCTTTCTTGTTTCTTGAGAAAGGCTTGTACCGCTATATATTTTCCTCTCAGGACTGCCTTTGTTGTGTCCCACAGATTTTGAACCGTTGTGTTTTCATTATCATTTGTTTCCATGAATTTTTTCAATTCTTCTTTAATTTCCTGGTTGACCCATTCATTCTTTAGAAGGATGCTGTTTAGTCTCCACGTATTTGGGTTCTTTCCAAATTTCCTCTTGTGATTGAGTTCTAGCTTCAGAGCATTGTGGTCTGAAAATATGCAGGGAATGATCCCAATCTTTTGATACCGGTTGAGACCTGATTTAGGACCGAGGATGTGATCTATTCTGGAGAATGTTCCATGTGCACTAGAGAAGAATGTGTATTCTGTTGCTTTGGGATGAAATGTTCTGAATATATCTGTGATATCCATCTGGTCCAGTGTGTCATTTAAGGCCTTTATTTCCTTGTTGATCTTTTGCTTGGATGATCTGTCCATTTCAGTGAGGGGAGTGTTAAAGTCCCCTACTATTATTGTATTATTGTTGATGTGTTTCTTTGATTTTGTTATTAATTGGTTTATATAGTTGGCTGCTCCCACGTTAGGGGCATAGATATTTAAAATTGTTAGATCTTCTTGTTGGACAGATCCTTTGAGTATGATATAGTGTCCTTCCTCATCTCTTATTATAGTCTTTGGCTTAAAGTCGAATTGATCTGATAAAAGGATTGCCACTCCTGCTTTCTTCTGATGTCCATTAGCATGGTAAATTCTTTTCCACCCCCTCACTTTAAATCTGAAGGTGTCTTCAGGTTTAAAATGAGTTTCTTGTAGGCAACATATAGATGGGTTTTGTTTTTTTATCCATTCTGATACCCTGTGTCTTTTGATTGGGGCATTTAGCCCATTAACATTCAGGGTAACTATTGAGAGATATGAATTTAGTGTCATTGTATTGCCTGTAAGGTGACTGTTATTGTATATTGTTTCTGTTCCTTTCTGAACTACTACTTTTAGGCTCTCTCTTTGCTTAGAGGACCCCTTTCAATATTTCCTGTGGAGCTGGTTTGGTGTTTGCAAATTCTTTCAGGTTTTGTTTGTCCTGGAAGCTTTTAATCTCTCCTATTTTCAATGATAGCCTAGCTGGATATAGTATTCTTGGCTGCATGTTTTTCTCGTTTAGTGCTCTGAATATATCATGCCAGCTGTTTCTGGCCTGCCAGGTCTCTGTGGATAAGTCTGCTGCCAATCGAATATTTTTACCATTGTATGTTACAGACTTCTTTTCCTGGGCTGCTTTCAGGATTTTCTCTTTGTCACTAAGACTTGTAGATTTTACTATTAGGTGACGAGGTGTGGACCTATTCTTATTGATTTTGAGGGGGGTTCTCTGAACCTCCTGGATTTTGATGCTTGTTCCCTTTGCCATATTGGGGAAATTCTCTCCAATAATTCTCTCCAATATACCTTCTGCTCCCCTCTCTCTTTCTTCTTCTTCTGGAATCCCAATTATTCTAATGTTGTTTCGTCTTATGGTGTCACTTATCTCTCGAATTCTGCCCTCATGGTCCAGTAGCTGTTTGTCCCTCTTTTGCTCAGCTTCTTTATTCTCTGTCATTTGGTCTTCTATATCGCTAATTCTTTTTTCTGCCTCATTTATCCTAGCAGTGAGAGCCTCCATTTTTGATTGCACCTCATTAATAGCTTTTTTTATTTCAACTTGATTAGATTTTAGTTCTTTTATTTCTCCAGAAGGGCTTTTATATCTCCTGAGAGGGTTTCTCTAATATCTTCCATGCCTTTTTCGAGCCTGGCTAGAACCTTGAGAATTGTCATTCTGAATTCTAGATCTGACATATTACCAATGTCTGTATTGATTAGGTCCCTAGCCTTTGGTACTGCCTCTTGTTCTTTTTTTTGTGGTGAATTTTTCCTCCTTGTCATTTTGTCCAGGTAAGAGTATATGAAGGAACAAGTAAAATACTAAAAGGGTGGCAACAACCCCAGGAAAATATGCTTTAGCCAAATCAGAAGAGATCCCAAATCGTGAGGGGGAGGAAAGGGGATATAAAGAGGTTCAGAAAGAAAAAAAAAAAAAGAAAGAAAAAAGAAACAAATAAAAAAAGAAAACCAGTAATGAAAAAATAAAAAAGGAAAATATATATATATATATATATATATATATATATATATATTAGATAAACTAGTTAAAAAACGTTAAAAAAAAGGATAAAAGTTAAAAAAAATTAGCAGAAGAAGAGAAAAAAAACTTGAAAAAGAAAAAAAAAATTAAATTAACTGCAAGGCTAAAGAGTCATGGGGAGAAAGCCATGAGTTCCGTGCTTTGCTTTCTCCTCCTCTGGAATTCCGCTGCTCTCCTTGGTGTTGAAACTGCACTCCTTGATAGGTGAACTTGGTCCTGGCTGGGTTTCTTGTTGATCTTCTGGGGGAGGGGCCTGTTGTAGTGATTCTCAAGTGTCTTTGCCCCAGGCGGACTTGCACCGCCCTTACCAGGGGCCGGGCTGAGTAATCCGCTCAGGTTTGCTTTTGGGAGCTTTTGTTCCCTGAGCGCTTTCCGTAGAGTTCCGGAGGACGGGAATGAAGATGGCGGCCTCCCAGTCTCCGGCCCGGAGGAGCCGAGAGCCTGGGGCCCCACTCCTCCGTGCGCCCTCAGAGAACAGCGCCCAATTACTCCCGTCACCATGGCCTCCTGCCGCGCTCCAAGCTGACCGAGCCTGCGACCGGTTCAAGGTAACCCCGAGCTGAGAGTCACTCTTCGGCTCTGTCTTTGTAGCCGGCTTCCCCGTTCTAATACCTGTAAACTCTGCGACACTCAGACACCCCCGATCCTTCTGTGACCCTGCGGGACCTGAGGCCACACTGACCCCGCGTGGGCTTCACCCCGGTTAAGCCTCTGGAGTGATGTCCCTCAGCGGAACAGACTTTTAAGAGTCCTGATTTTGTGCTCCGTTGCTCCGCCGCTTGCTGGGAGCCGGCCCCTCCCCCCATGGTCTATCTTCCCGTCCCTTTGGATTCACTTCTCTGCCAGTCCTACCTTTCAGAAATTGGTTGATTTTCTGTTTCTAGAATTGCTGTTCTTCTCTTCGATCTCCCGTTGGATTTGTAGGTGTTTGCAATCTTTAGATAAGCTATCTAGCTGATCTCCCGCTACCTGAAGTAGTCTCAGCCTGCTACTTCTCCGCCATCTTGACTCCTCCTCTAATTCAATATTCTTTATTTCAAAGAGAAGCCAAGAAAAGTTGGACAGTTTGCTGTGCAGTGTAATTCCACACACCTATTCAGTATTTTTTTTAAAGGAGGCTCCACACACAGCGTGGAGCACAATGAGGGGCCAGAATTCAGGAGCCTGAGACAGAGACCTGAGCTGAGATCAAGAGTCAGATGCTCAACCAACCGAGCCACCCACATGCTCCAATTCATTCAGTATTGTTTTGGAATGCCTTGAATAGCCTCACCATCAACAGTTCCATTGATTTGGGATGTTCTAGTCTCTACATCATCAAATCTGTTCTTAGAGAATTTTTCCTATTTGGTAACCCCTACTACCATCACCACCAATATTTCCAACTACGCAATTAGTTGGGAAGTAGAAATGAAGGGCAAGAGATAGTCACCAGCCTTTAACCAAAAATCAGAACCTTGCTTGGGAACATCATCAGCTTTAATTATGTCATTTCCAATGAGTAGATTCTGCTGAGTGGCAGGGTATTCCTTCTTTAACAGGATGTCTTGTTTAGAGGGAGAAAAAAATAAACTATTGAGATGTGAATCATTCGTCTGTACCAAAACAGAAAGCATATTTAAGCTTGAACCTAATGGCAACCACCAAAACCAAGCAAAGCCAGTGTAGATGGGATGTCTGCTTTGATCTGACCAACCATCCAGCTGGGGTTTCTCAGACGAGCAAAGGCGGTTTTGGGACTCACCAGGAAGATCCAAATCACCCCATAGAGACAGCAGGTTTTGAGGAAAGGAAAAAGTGGCACAGCCTCAGATTGTCCAGAAGACTTCATTTTTCTTGTCTTTTTTTTTTTTTTAGTGAAAGTAACTGAAATGTATAGTTGAAATAAATACATATACACAAATGAGTGTAAAGCAAAGAAAAAGTTCTCTTTTGACACCCCATTACCACTTTCCAGAATTTTACACTAATGGTTTCCACGTATTCTTCCAGAATTTTTCTTTTTCTTGCAAGTATACACATATATAACTATTCAGTTTTGGTTTTTAACATTGTACATATTTTTCCTCACCTCCATGATGTCTTAGAGGTCATCGCATACCAATATGTATAAAGTCTATCTCATCTTTTAAAAGCCTTACAATATTTTTTTGATGAATATGCCAAACTTTATTTAATTAGTTCCATGCTGATGGATATTTAGGTTCTGTATATTTTTTGCAATTATAAAAAAAGTTTTAATAAACATTGCATAATAGCATTACATGCTTGTGAGAATGTTTTGTAAGAATAGATTCCTAGAAAAGGAATTGCCAGATATGTTGATATAAAAGTTTGATAGAATGTGGCAAATTGGGGCACCTGCATGGCTCAATTGGTTGTGTCTGCCTTTGGCTCAGGTCGTGATCCCAGTGTCCTGGGATGGAGCCCCATGTTGGGAACCCCTGCTCAGCAGGGAATCTACTTCTCCCTCTGTCCCTCCCCAATTGCTTATGCTCGAGCTCTCTCTCTCTTTCTCAAATAAAAAAGACTGTGCCAAATTGTTCCTCAAGATGCTGTACTAAAGTATATCCCTACAATAAGTATTGTTAAGCTTTCTAATCTTTGTCAATTTAATATGGAAAAATAAGGATTTGCCCTTTTTTCATTATAAAAAAGCTTCAGTATTTTTTAGGATGTTCATTGGCCATTTTCCCATTACACACTTTAGGGTTTTTTTATGAGACTTTTATAAATGAAGGAAAATAGCTTTTTATTGGTTGTAAGTATTGTAAATACTTCCCCAGTTTGAGTTTGTTTCTGTAAAAAGTTTGAATTTTTAGATTGTCAAATTTACTAATCTTTTCTTTAACAGCTTCTAAATACTTTTCTATAGTTTCCAAACTCCCTCTCTCTCTCTCTCTCTCTATCTATGTATATATATATATACGTACACAACAATACTTTTTTGTCAGAGTTGGAGTTGTTACAATACTTAAAAGAAGATTCTTGGGTTTCAGTGATTTTGTGTTGGAATCCTGACTCTGAATCCTTATCATACCATCTATTAGCTGGGTGGCTTGGGCCAAGTGACTTAAGATCTTTGGGCCTCCATTTTTTTATTGATAAAGAAAGAATAACTGTGCCTGATATATAGGCTGATCATGAGTGAAAGGATTTTTTTTGTTGTTGTTCACTGGTCTATCTTCAGTACCTAAAATTGTGCCTGGCTCACAGGAAGCACTCCATCTACTCGAGATTTTGGTTGTGATCTCAAGTAGAGATAATTACTTCTTGTCTCTCATTACAGGTCGCTATGCAATGGTGGTCTGCGGAGACATTGCTGTCTATCCCAGTGGTAACGCTCGCCCCACAGGTGGGGCTGGAGCTGTGGCCATGCTGGTTGGGCCCAAGGCCCCTCTGGCTCTTGAGAGAGGTCTGTGGTAAACTGTGGAAATGTGGTACCAAGAGACTGTGCACAGCTAATGCATAGCTCCCAATCCCAAGTTGGCATACCCCCTACATAGGGCTGAAGTGTGGATTTGAGGATGACATCACATGCCTTCAGAAGGCTGGACTGGGGAGCAAAGGGCAGGGAGGAAGGGAACAGAGGGATCATCGAGTTTTCCTCTTCTGCACCATCACATATTGGGATCATGATGCATAGAATGAGTAACATTGTTGCTGCAGACCAGGAACTTTAAGGTGCTAGACTGGCAATTGAAGATGAAAGAAGATAATTGGGCATAATGAGAAAGGTTCTCCTTTGAGACTTTCGGCATCTATTCCAGATTTTGTTAAAGCCATAAAGGTATGGAAAGGGAAATAATAGATCTCATTTATATAAGAGCAACCATCTATTAGATTCCCTTTGAATGTGGGAGGGATGTTGAGTGGGCTCAGGCAGAGAAAAACCAGGGAAATGTTAGTAGATGTCTCCCTATCCTCTCTGTTCCATGGGGGCTGCATCATACAGTCCTGAATCCCCCTGTGTGCCTTGCCAGGGCTTAGAGGAACCCACATGGAGAACGTTTACGACTTCTACAAACCAGATGCAGCTACAGAGTACCCAATAGTGGATGGGAAGCTCTCCATCCAGTGCTACCTACGGGCCTTGGACAGATGTTACACGTTATACCGTCAAAAAATCCAGAACCAGTGGAAACAAGGTATGGGACTCAGAGGGCAGAAAGTGGGTACTCTATTACTAGGGGACAAAGAGTTGGTCCTAAAAGCTTAAGACAAGGTTTCTTCTCTCCTTCAAAAATGATCTCAAGAGCATGGCTTCATGTCCCCTTCCTCTTACACCCTTTCATGGGTCTATGCTAAAAAAAAGTCCATCTAGAAGCTTCCAATTCAAGTATGAAGCTGCCTCTTACTTGAGCTGAATGCAAGAGATTAAACATGCTAGGACCAAAGCCACCAGTAGGAAACCAGTGACTGTCAGCCACCTGGGGAGGTACTGTGGTGAGTCAGTGTAACCACATCCTACTGGGGCTAAGATTTGTTTCTGTTGAAGTCAGGAGTGATTTAACTCACCATTTGTAGTTTGCTGCCTTTTAAAGCCTGGCGGATGTTGAGAAATCTTATCTCTATTTTCAGTATAGTAAAGTGTTCCTGATTTTTCTTTGGATGATAATGTTACAAGTTAATTTTATTTTCACCTTTAGTTTCTGAGTTCTCCCACTAAGAAAATATGTGCTGCTTTCATAATCAGAAAGAAAATAAACTTTATTTTAAAAGTTCAGAGCACTCTAAAAAAATCAAAGGGTTCTTATGACCAGAAGGGCATCTGTTACAGGCAGTTTTCAGTGTGGAAAAAGGCACGTGTGGAAGTGTCAGAGCATGGATGCTTTAGGGAGTGGCCTGAGGAGCCACTTCTTGCCCCTTTCCACTGCTCTGAGAGGGCTGCCAGCCACCACGGCTGGCCCCTACAGGTAGGCAGTGGACTTGGACTTCCCTACCTTCCATCCACTGTAAACCTGCTCTTGGCTAACTGCTCTCACCAGCTCTGTATTCTTTCAGCATTCTCATTTTGCTCCCTAACCTTATGTGGAATTTGATTGATGCTGCTTTGGCCCTCAGCTCAAAGATACAGTCTGGGATGTCTATAGAGCCAGAAACGTCAGAACCTACATCCAAAGCCAGCCATTTTCAAGCTGAGTAAACTTGGACACATGACCTAGCTTCATATTTTAGAGACTCTGTTTCCTCCTCTGAAAAACAGAGAAAGTAACACAACACTAGTTTGATTTGGAGGAATTATCTGTCATAAAGTTTGGCAATAGCAGACAGGAAGAAAATGGTTGTTTGTTTCCCGTCTTTCTTCATAAGTAGAGTGCTTAAGTGAATGAACAACTTACATGTGTTTGCTGAAGGTAGGAGCTGGTTCCCTGGGACACCTCATGTCCCTCGGAACACTTCGGTCTTAGAGTGTAGGTCTAAGTGGCTCATTGGCCATGGCACATCCTTGTTTTCACACTTCCTCTTCCAGCTGGCATCAATCGGCCTTTCACTCTTGATGACTTACAGTTCATGATCTTTCACACGCCCTTCTGCAAGATGGTCCAGAAATCCCTGGCTCGCCTGATGTTCAATGACTTCTTGTCAGCCAGCAGCGACACGCAGACCAGCCTATATAAAGGGCTTGAGGCCTTCAGGTGGGTCCTCTTTGGGGAACCCTGGAGGTTCTTGAGGGCTGAGGAAGGAGAAGGTTTCCTTACTCCTTGAGTCTGTACCACCAGCCAAGCATGGGGGTGAGAAAAGGACAATCTTCCAACACAATAGAAAGGACACCAAGTTCATACATGACTGATTGAGTTATGGTCTACATGGGGTCCCCCCATATTTTATCTCAGGGAACACGGGGAGTTTGCCAGCACCTCTAGATCAAGTGGCTGGCTATCAGAAGCTTCAGAGAATAAGAAAAAGGGAAAAGGGAGTGTAGCTAAAACATTTAGTCAGCAAACATTTTATGAACATCAACTATATGTCAGGCTTCATACTCAACTCTAGGGACGCCAAAATAAATATGACTCCATGATATTCCAGTCTGTATAGACAGAAATACCTAGAAGTAAATAATTGCAGTACAGGATGGCAACTTGGGATCATCAAGTCTCATTCTCACTTGCCATTGTTGAGTTAATGTCTTGCCTGTTGCCTTAATTTCCCCCATCTATGAAACAGAGATAGTCCAGCTCCCCTCACCTTAGAAGAATACTGTTTATTGAGAAATTACTCCAAGACATTTAGAATAGAAGAATCTTCAATACACAGTTCCCAATGGGAAGAAAATATTCCCTTTTGGTATGATAGCTGTTTAGTTCAAGTTTGAAGTATTCTACCAACATCCGCCCCCATTACTAATTACTACTAACCCTGCCACTACCTAAAACATCAAAGTGAGCACAAACATGATTACGAGACCTGCCCCATGAAAGAAAATCCTAATATATGTCAAAGATAATAGCTTAACATCTTTAACACATGGAAGTCTCATCAATAACAGAGACCCTAATAGGAAAAGGAGCAAAAGATATGCCCCAGAAATTTCCTCAAAGAAGAAATGCACATTATCCCATTTGCAAATGTGCTTGCCCATTAGTAAGAAATTAAAAGAAGCTATCATTTTTCTTACATAGCCTTTCTATTTTTTTAAATATTATTTATTTATTTATTTGACAGACAGAGATCACAAGTAGGCAGAGAGGCAGGCAGAGAGAGAGAGGAGGAAACAGGCTCCCTGCTGAGCAGAGAGCCCGATGCGGGGCTCGATCCCAGGACCCTGGGATCATGACCTGAGCCAAAGACAGAGGCTTAACCCACTGAGCCACCCAGGCACCCCTTACATAGCCTTTTTAAAGATCTGAGTATTCAGATCTTTAAAAAGGAGGAGGCTCTAGGAAAATGGACAACAGTGGATGTGTGAATTGAAACAAGGGCTTTAGGAAGAAGTAGGAAAACACAAAGCAAAGTCCTTAAAGACGTGCACACTTTTTGGTTCAGCAACTCCATGTGTAAGAGGGAAGAGGCAGAGTTTTAACTGGTGAGGACAGGACAGGGAGATTGGTTCAATTAGGGCACATCATATCATGACCCATTCTGCAGCCTTTAAAAATATTGCTAGAGAAGTTGATTTAATGTCATAAAGAAAATTAGTTAAGGAAGCATGTTGAATGGAATATATAGCATGATTTTATTTTCTAGTTAACCTCTGAGGGCAGGGATAGGTTCCACAAGAACAACTGACCTAAGGGCTCTCTCTGAATGGTATGACTATTAGTGACATTGGTTTTTTGTTTTGTTTTGTTTTGTTTTGTTTTGTTTTTGTGCTGGTCTGTATTTCTAAATATTCTGTAGAAAACAAACAAACATACAAAAAAAAATGTGCCTAAAAGTCTCTCCAGGAGCTCTTACTTTTCCCCCTTGCTGCCTCCCTCCCCTTCGATCCCTCACCTGGCCCGTGCCTCTGCTTGCCTCCCAGGGGGCTAGCGCTGGAAGAAACCTACACCAACAAGGACATGGATAAGGCACTTCAAAAGGCCTCCCTGGACATGTTCAACAAGAAGACCAAGGCCTCCCTTTACCTCTCCACTCACAATGGGAATACGTACACCTCGTCCCTGTATGGGTGTCTGGCCTCTCTTCTGTCCCAGTGAGTACTACCCCCAACCCCATGGTCAAGGTCAGAGGGCTCAACCAAATTTGGTTCCTCTTCTGGTTCAGAAATTCTTAAGGAAGGAAAGATAATGAAAGAAACTTCTTTCAAAGGGACATGTGTAGGCAGCTCTACTATCAGGATTAAGTAATGGTCTCCAAAGTGACGATGTATGATGTCAAGGAATGTGTTAAGTTATGCTTGGATGCAGCAAGCATGTAACAGAACTTCAGTGCATAGTTTTATCTCATGCATTTGAAATCTCTGGCCTTAGTAAAGCACAGTGGTTAAGAGAGTCTAGCATTAGAAAGAACAGCTGGGGTTTCAATACCACTTATTAGCTTTGATCTTGGAAAAACACTTCATCTCTATGTGCTTCATTTTCCCCATCTATAAAACATATGCACTAACAATACGTCCCTCCTAGCATTTTGATGAGTGCTCAGTGGGTAAAGGAATTTAAACACTAGAGCTCAGCAAATGCTCAGATATGGTTGTTATTTCTATTGATACTCTATTTTCTGGGGTTCATAGGAAATACTTGTACTATAGTACATGCACATAACATAGGAGATAGATATATATGAACTCAATCAAATGATTACCAATGAGGATACTGCTGAAACATTACCAGAAAACATGGAAGCCTTGAAGTGGTCTGACATCCAAACACCAGAGTTCACTGAATTCATCTTGTCCCCATAGGTGACAAGAAGCCACAAATTCTGTTAAGCTCAATGGGTCTTCTGTATCTTGGATTTTAGCCACTCTCCTCCTGATAAGTTTTCTTCTCTCTGGGTCTATCCCCAGGGTCTTCCAAAAGCCCCTCTTTGTGCAGGGTGCCTGGAGCCCATTTCTACTTGCAAGAGGTTGACTAGATTGGGGCGATAGGTTGGTAGCTTATTTGAAGAGCAGAATAATGCCAACGTGCTTCTTGGATTTTGCTTTCTTTCCCTGCAGGTACTCTGCCCAAGACCTGGCTGGCTCTAGGATTGGGGCCTTTTCTTATGGCTCTGGCTTGGCTGCAAGTTTTTTTTCATTTCGAGTATCCAAGGACGCTTCTCCAGGTGAGTCCTGTCTTTTTATTAGGCCCTTCCGGTGTGATTCATCTGTTCAAAGAAACCACTCTCTTCCTCCCCACTACTGAGGCTCCCATCTGGGCAGAATTATGTTGTGATTAAGAACAGAGGAACTCCCAGGAGGGATTTAAGCAATGGAGTAAGTTTGTCTCATTTATGGAGTTGAAGCATTTGGCGGGCTACTACTTGGAACTAGATTGAAGAGAAATGAAGGTGGAAGTGGGAAACCAGTCAGATTGTTCCAGCAAACAGTTCAGGCAGGAAGTAATTAATGGCTGTTTGGTTGCAATTTAGTTCAAGGGAAGCTTATGGATTTGAAATTTTCAGTAAATATATAATGATTATTTTCTGTGAGATGTAAAAACAGGTGTGCACCTAAACACCCTGCGGGACATTCCTTGACTATAAGAGTGTGTCTGCCAGTAGGTTTTGCTAACATTATGTTTGATGACCTTTATCATTTCTCGACATTCCAAGCCACACACAACACTGTCCTCCAGGGTTGGAGCCTCCACAGAACCTGGCTCTCTATCAAACTCGTGATTGGCAGCAGTGACAATGACAGTGAAGCAGATATAACAATTTTGCCTTTGTTTCCCAGGATCCCCCCTGGAGAAGTTGGTGTCTAGTATGTCAGACCTTCCAAAACGCCTCGCCTCCCGGAAGCGTATGTCTCCTCAGGAATTCACAGAAATAATGGACCAAAGAGAACAATTCTACCATAAGGGTAAGAAAAAGGACGAGAAGAGAGGAGATGGAAATTTTCTAAGTTTTCATGCTGGTGGCAGAGAGCCAGGGATTCATCAGAAGTCTGGACTACAGTGGGCCAGAGCGAAGACGTCTAGACAATATGATTGGGAGAGAATCTGTTAGGCCCAAAGAAGCAAGAATTGGGTGGGAAAGCAGGAGGCAGAGTGGAGAAGAGGTGGGCGGTAGCATGTGGCTTCCCAGTATAGATTGTAGCTAACCACTCAAAACAGGATCCTGGAAAATGCAGTTCCAAGGACTTCTGGCAGGTGGTCTTTAAAACTGCTCTCTATGCAACCGTTGAAGTAGACCGGACTTTGGAGCTAGATATTCAAATCTAAACTGACCTGTGATCCCCAGTAGCTCTTGGGGAAATCATTGATATTTTCTCAGTTGTCTTATTTCTAAAATCATACCAACTTTGCAAGACTGCCACACAGATTAAATGAGTTAATGTACATAAGAAAGTTCTATTATTGACAGATATTACTGTCTCTGTGCACCTGCCCCCCTTTCCCTACTGAACATAAAAACAAAGTATTGCCCAATGGGGCACCTGGGTGGCTCAGTCAGTTAAGCATCTGCCTTTGGCTCAGGTCATGATCTCAGAGTCCTGGGATCAAGTCCTACATCACGCTCCCTGCTCAGCAGGGAGCCTACTTCTCCCTCTGCCTCTCCCCTGCTTGTGCTCTCTCTCTCTTGAATAACTAAATAAAATCTTTTAAAAAAAATATTGCCCAGAAAAGCAACAAAGGAAAAGGTGACAAAATGGAAGTTATGACTGGAGAGACCAGATGGTGGTTTTAATACCAAAACAAAACATATTTTCTCAAGCAAGACTTCGGACGCGTGGCTTGCAATGGGATCTGAAAGGGAGACAGAATACATGGAACTGGGAATGTTCCAGAAAACCTAGGCCTAGTAGTCATCCATCTTCTCTGGAACAGGGACATCTTAGTTCAGAGGAAAAACAATTAAAGTAAAAATGGGACTTCTGAGATGAACTTTATTGAACAAAGAACAGAAATATGACAATGAATCAGAGCCAGAGAACTTAGGGCTAAGAAGGAAGTGTCTATTAGAAGACAGGAAGCTCTGAGGTATACATACCTCAAGGCAGGTATCCCCAGCAAGAGAGCGTGGTGAGGATTTCAGGAGAGGAAGATCATGTTTAATGTAGGAACAAGTCATACTCCTACAGTAAAATTTCTCATAACTGAGGCTTATGTACTAGATCCAAGATGACTGCCTCTGGTTCTTGGGCTGGTCCAGAGCTCTGCTGGGGCTGGGACAGGTGGCCAGCCTCGCAGCCAGGAGAGCTTCACGGTGAAGGCATCCCTGGCACTCTTTCCTCTTCCCAGCCTCAGGTACCTCTTAGTAAGTATTGCTTCTCCTCATGCCACAGTGAATTTCTCACCACCTGGCGACACGAGCAGTCTTTTCCCCGGCACGTGGTACCTGGAGCGGGTAGATGAGCTATATCGTCGCAAGTATGCCAGGAGACCAGTCTAAAGGTGGTGAGTGACATTCTGTAGGGTTGGTGATATCAAGTTTGTCCTCTGGGAAACAGATTCAGTTCCAATAGTGTAACCAGGCCAGACAAGGTCTATAGCTCGGAAATGATTGGGGGTGGGGAGTTTGTACCATGAGGACCACCCAGAACCGGTGGGGTTCTTTGCCCTGGAAAGACAAAAGCTGGGGGAAGGGCACGTTTTAAACTCTGGAATGCAGGGAAAAGTCAACTTATTTACCTGTTCTGCTCAGGATAGGAAGCTCCCCTAGAAATGTGATAGAAACCAAATTGGCATCTGTTAGGGAAAACTACAGAACCCATTCCTCAAAAGGGGTAAAGTAGGAACAAAGGTGAGTGACTTCAGAAAAGGTTCCTACATATTCACGAAGAAACGCAGTGTTGGGGATTCTGCTGGGTCCAGAAGCCTCAGGAGGAGGGAGCCTCACCTGGGTAAAAGCAGTGAGGTTTGGAAAATCAGTGGAGGGGGGATTGGGGTTGGTTTCTTGCAAGAGGACTGCCTGAAGGGGAGATGGGAGACTTGTTGGGATACTTGTTAAAGGAGAATCAAGTATTTAGAAGGAGAATCTTGGGGGTGTCTGGGTGGCTCAGTGGTTTAAGTGTCTTCCGTCAGCTCAGGTCATGATCTTGGAGTCCCGGAATCAAGTCCCGTGTCGGGTACCTTGTTCAGGCAGGGTGACTGCTTCTCCTTCTCCCTCAGCCATTCCCTCTGTTTGTGCTCTCTCTCTCTCTGTGTGTCAGATAAATAGATAAAATCTTTTTTTAGAAAAGGGGGGGTGGGGGAAGGGTTAGAATCATATAGTTCATGGGCCCAGACATCTACCTTCAGTTTATCTTCCAAGTTGCTAAAAAAAGCAGAATGGAGGCATGAGAAGCCATTTCTTCAACAACCTGTAAATCTCAACAAATACAGTCCCTAAATACTTCCTTTATATGTGTATGTGTTTATTGTTTCCCTTCTCTGGTAGGTGAAGGGTAGAGGAAGGTTTGCCGAGGGCGGGATATGGATCTGGGGAGGAGGAGGAAGTCCACAGGTAAAGGAGATACCCAGACAAAGCAAGAAAACCACGGGGTAGGCAGGATGCCCTCATTTCGGTGCACGTGGCCTCCTCTAATGTGCTGTTAAGTGCTCAGCAGGGTGGACAAGGGGCCTGACTGGCCAGGGCTGCAGATGTGGTCGGACTCCAAGCCCAGTATCGAGGGCTACAGACTTGGACACCACCCCTAAGTCATTTGTGTGCCTGCTGGTTTGTAATAGGATTCTTAAGGGCAAGTCAATGGCGAAGAGGGGGGCAATTAGATGTGTCAATGGCTAGTTCAGTCATCAGAAGGAGAGAGAGAGAAATTTGGGATTTTCAAGGGCAAGTTTCTAAATCAGGCTCCCTCCCTCTCATGGCCCTCAAGCATTGTACCTCTGAGGAGGAAAGTTGGGACTCCAGTCCTTGTCTCGTGCTGATGTCTCGTGCTGATGGCTCACACAAGAAAGAACCTCACAACAATGAAATTTTAAGCGAATGAAAGGTTTTCTGTCAGTATGCCACTCTGTGGAGGTGTCTCTTCACTGTCCAACCTGTCCAACCCTCTCTTCCATTAGGCAGAATGTATCACAGTGTCCCTGCCCCTCTCCCTTGGCTCCTGTGGTGTTGGACACATGTGGCTCAGGCGTCCAGGCGTGGAGCTGAGCTGGCAGCAGAGCCCCCCAGACCTCATGATGCAGGCAGGAGATCCCTCAGCATAGTCTTACCTCAGACAAAACACAGGTACTGGGAGCAAGGCTGGAGGGATGCCTGGGATGAGGCTCACACTGAATGTCCTTCTTTTGTCTCTTTAATTCCTACAGACCGCGGTTCCTGGAAAATCTACAGTAGCAGAGTTTATGCTCATGGATCCTACTTTTAAAAGCCCAATCTTAGATGGAAATGAATTGGATTGGACACCATAGTCCCCAGAAGCAGCACCCTTGGGGAGTGAGGGGCCGTCCTTAGCGGTCTTTTCTGCCTTTCTCTGGGCTAATGGTGGCACAGGGGTCCTCTGTGGAAGAGGGGATGCGAAGAAAGCCTAGCCCAGAAACCTTGCCCTCTGGAACTGGGGAAAAAATCCAGATAACTTTGCCTGTCATGTTCCCTTGTGGCCATTATTATCATTACTAGATTTCTGTGCTGTTGTAGCTTTACTCATTTCTTAAGTTTTTCCATCAGTTTCTAGATGTTGCAGCTTGTACTAAGCCCATATAACACAACCCAAAAGTTAGAGAAGGAGGCAGTCCCTCATTGCATTGCTTGGAAAAACCAGGGCTCAAAACAGGCACCAGTTGACATGCCGAGGAGACAGCCAGACCCCCCCGGCTCTGAGGGCCCCACTCTCCGTGACCCCCACCTGCCCCCACCACTGAGTTCTCACCTCACACACCCCGTCCCCATCCCATTCCATTCTCCAAGAAGCACAGGAGAACAAAGCTGCACCCAGCTTCCTTCCCTGATCTAAAGACGCCACCTGTAGACCCGGCCAGAAATGTGCTCAAGGGCGGCTGCAGCTCCTTGCCCAGGCCTTGCCAGTGTTCTCTGGGCAAATACACACCAAGCAGAGGTTAATGCGGCATGCTCCTGACTCCTCCAGCCAAAAAAAATTACATTATGATACCTAGCAGGGAATTCTTTTGCTAGAGATTGCTTTGTCTCCCTTGGGTTAGGCCACTGCTTATTCCAGGACCCTCTTATAAAGTAGCAAGGGTCCATGGCAGTGGGAATTGAGCTGGGGAGGGGTGTGGGAAGGGGAGGAAGGATACCAGGTCTTTTAAAAAGCTTCCTTAGCTGCCCTGTTTTGTAGAAGAGAAGCTGGCTTCCTTTGGTGGGAAACAGGGCTGGCTAGGAGGGGTGTTGCCAGAGATAAGGGGGCACGGGGCAGAAGGGAATGCGATGCTGAGCCCGCCCACTTCACGTCTGGCCCAAGGCTGTCCACATCCCCACACGTACCAGAAAATCCAAGATAAACCCGATTTGAGTTCAGAACTCAGGAGGAGTTCAGCTGACTTCCCCAGCCCTCTCTCCAGGTGCATGCTGAACTCCTCCTGTTCCACCAACTGCCCCTCTCTGCCAGCCGTAGCTCCTCCCCTGCGAGCTGCCTGGAGGCCCTTAGTCTAGATGGCATTCCCACAAAACAGCATATGCCTCCCCTAAGATCTCTGGCGTGGCGTCGGAGTCATGGGCAAAAGTCCCTACTCACGATAAAAGTCTCTGGGCCTTGCCGTCTATCCATACGGAGCTCACTGGGGGTTCTTGGTGCTGAAACTGCCTCCATCAGCCTTAGCAACCAGGCCCTTCATGTCACCCGGTGCCTCCACTCAGGAGTCCTTTGGACACGATGTGGGAGTGAGAATAAGATCTGACAATGAGGATGTCAGGGTGCTGAAGGATTGAACAGATGCTGCCCGTGCCCCAGGCACGCCAGGTGATTATCAGCCCTGGTTCAATTCCAGGCACTCAGAACGCCATCGGTCATTGCCTCCACCGCGCAGGCCGAGATTCCTGGCCCCCCCTGGGGTCCGCTTCTTCACCAGCTTTGGTACTGAGCCCTGGGCCTTCCTATGGCAGCTCTGGAAGCGCTTCATTGAAATGGATGCCTGCTGGCTGCTGAACAAAGCCCTCCCCTCCATGTAAGGTCAACATAGGGGGGAAGGATTTCCAGTCACCCTGTCCCATGCTCACCCTCAGGTCTGCTCCTACCATTTGTTTCCTTGTCTAGATAACACTGGCAGGCAAAGACTCTCCCTGCAAGGGCATCTGGGTGGATCAGTCGTTAAGCGTCTGCCTTGAGCCAGGTCATGATCTCAGGGCCCTGCTCAGCGGGGAGTCTGCTTCTCCCTCGGCCCCTCACTCCACTCATGCTCTCTCACTCTCTCTCTCAAATAAATAAAGTGTTTAAAAAACAAAAACAAAAAACAAAACAAAAAAAAACCCTGCAGAGGCAAGAAATCGCCCTGGCTGACTTGGGGCTGGGAAGAGGATGACGGGATCACCAGCAGAAGGTATATTGGAGAGAGTGTATCACATGTCCTATTAAACTGGACACGAAGAATGGCCAGCCCACCACTTCCCTCACAGCTCTGCTTCCTAGTCGAGGTACATGGAATGACATGGCACTCTAAAGTGAGGTACGGCGGCAATGCCACAGAGCAACACCAAGGAAACAGCCCCCTCTGTGGGGCGCCAGCTGGATTGTGAGAATCTTGCCCTTTTTGATCTGGGAGTTATGTAGACAGCCACGGGACGGGAGGGATGCAAGGAAACTGTCCCGGGCCTGCCCATGCCACCCAAGGCTAGGAGGCTGTTTGGAGATGCTCAAGTAATTTGAGCCTCCAGAACTGGTTCTGACCACCTCTGAGCCCCAAGTATGGTGTGTCCAGGGAATTTCGGAGAATGAGGCCAAAAGACTAAATATTGAGCTCAAATTTTAACAGAATTTCTAACTCCATCCATCTCAGCCTGTTTTTCTAGGATCAGTGGCCTCAAGGGAAGGTCTCCTTAGTGGGAGGGACTCAATGAGAGACTGAGGGAGACCTGCTGTCCACCTTCAAAGGGATGAAACGTTTTAATCCCTTTGTTACTGGAGCTCTGAGGCACCCCATTTATACAGATGAGGAAACAAAGGTTTAGGAGAATTAAATATTCTTTGAAGGCTGCTTTGTAGCAGCACCCTTCCAGGTCTGCTACAGCCAGGCCAGAACACATCCGTTTCTCCAAGGGCACTGCAGACATGGTGCAGCCGCTGATTCCTGGTGGTTCTCGTGGACCTTTTGCTCGATCACAGCACAAAGAGGCCAAAGTGGTGGGTTTGCACCCGCCGTGCCCATCAGCTGCCTTGGTCCAACCTTCTCCGTCCAGTCGGGAGCCTCAAAAGCAGATGCCATTCAGCCCAAGGTGGGGATGGGTCATCCCCTACAAATGGGGGGGGCAGACCCTTAAAAGCTGACGCCCTTAGGTTCAGGAGTGCCCTTCTGCCGTGTTTCAGAAAAATCACATTTTTTTTAATGTCAAGTAATATACTGTCCAATCTATACTGAGCCGGCTCTGTGAGATAGGCAAATATTCTCATGCTTCATACCTTAATGCACTTTCTCTCCCTTATAAACCTTCCCAACATCTCAGACACCATCCTCTGCTCAATCACTCTCCTGGACTCAACAGAATTCACACACACCCCACCACACCCAGGGGCCTCTGTGTGCCGTCCCTCCCAGCGGACGGAGACTTCGCTGGGAATGGTCTGGGCTTTAACCCTCCTCTGGGACAAATAACCCAGCCCAGTGTCTGGCGTGAAGGGCTGTGCCTCTTTGCTGATACATTTATTAACATGCGCGCATACCCCCAGAAGGAAGGGATCTGAAACACCACAGGAATTGGAGATACTGAGTTGTGTTCCCATAAAGATGCCTCTGAATAACCTGAGACAGGCAAGAGAGAGATCCCTCTTCTGAGCACACACCTAGGCGTGCTCTTTGCGCACCCCCATCTCCCTCCACATCCCCAACCCTCCTGCCAGGGCACCGGCTGCAACAGCCCACGGCTGCCCTCTGGTGGATCTGCAGGGTAATAACAGAGAGACGCAGGGACATTTGGGACAGGCTCTTTATTAGGTGGTTATTGCTGCATTATGGAGGTCAGCCAAGGTCTGCAGAGTAAGCAGCTGTCAGCCTCAGGAACGTGGATCTCCTCTGTTGATCACAGTGGGCAGATTTCTTCAGAAAAGCTCCCCAAAGCTTAGAAGTGGAACTGGAAAGCCTCAGTCACATGCTGCTTCCATGTTTCCAGGCTGGGCAGCAGGGAGGAGATGCCCATGACGTGCCAGGTCTCCCCATCTGACACCACCGAGGTCTGGTAGGACAGCAGTTGCACGCCTGCCTCTGCCAGCAGGCCTGGAAGTAGATAGGAAAACTGCTGGTTGGCAGAGGGCACAGGGGAAGGAGAAGCAAGAGGCTGGGAGCAGGGCCAGAAGCCTTGGACCCCTGTGAGCAAAGTTGCAGTGAGGGGTGGGGGAGTGATGGTCTCAGAATCAGAGAGTAAAGAGATGGAACAAGAGGGCACCTGCCCAGCCTCCTTCACTACTTAGAGACTCTGTAGGAGCACCCTGAGCATCTGGTCAGCAGGGAAGGAATGATCCAGCCACAAATTGCTTAGAGTTAGAGCAATCTCCTGACTCGCCGGTCATCAGTTTCATCCTGACCGAGAGCAAAGGAGCAAAGCAGGGGAAAGTTCCTCTGGTCAACTGGCAAGGATGGTGAAATTAGGCCTTTTGAGGTCTGTGGACACATTCTTCCACACCTGGAAGTGCTCCAAAACGCCCAGAACGCCCAGGGCCCCACAGCCAGGGTCCTGGGGCAGGTCCATGATGTCCGCGGACTGCTGGAGCGGACTCCCTGACGTGGCAGGCAGGCTAGCCCCCAGGGCCTGCGGTCGGAAGAAGGAAACCTGCATTCAAAGGCTCAGAGTTCCTGGGACACAGCCCTGCAGACAGGTCTACACTGTGAGCTTAACGACGGTGAGCAGGACGGTTGACATGGGCTCTGGGGTTCTACCCTGCCACGTGGCTCTGCTACCTCTGAACTCTGTATCCCCTTCCCAGATGTTCTGGAAACTGGCTTGACAGACCCTCTGCATGCTGCAGATCCAGAAATATTGAGACGGAGCTAAAGGAGGCCAAGGTCCATGGAGTCCAATCCCAGGAGAGAATCCCTTCTGTCACACACATCCACACATGCACACACACACGCACACTCGCCCCGGCTTCAAGGATGCAGGCAAGCTCCACAGAGCCCTCCTCACCGATCATGGTGGGCAGCATCACAGGGTTAGACGGCTGGGCCCGGAACAGGAGCAGGGGCAGGCCCCTGCGGAGAGGCACTTCCGGTCTGAAGACGGCTCCGTTGAGCGCCTGCAGCACGGGCGTGGTGCCCTGGACCAAGCCCACAGCCTGGTAGGGGGCACCTGCCAGGGCCACGGTCAAGAGGCCTTCCCCAGAGCCCTGCTCCCCTGGCCCTGCAGGGTTGTGGGAGGTGGTTACCTGCAGGGAGAAGGAAAGGAGCCACGGTCAGTCCTCCCAGCTGTATGGCACCCAACCTCTGCATCCACCCATTAGCCGATCCGTAGGGCTGCAGCAGGGCCAACATGCTCAGCATTT